AGGGGCCTTATTCCTGAGATGCTTTACTCTGCTGAATTTGCAGTAGACTGTACATAAGGTGAAACTGCTGCTCGCACTGTGGTCTTTGAGCTTCTCGTATGCTCATGACTGACTTGCCGTGTGCTGTGGGGCTTTTACAGGTACAGTTGTTGCTGGAAGACATGTATTTTCCTGACCAGTGTGATGCTAGCTGTCAAACTGATTCCTCTGCCTCAATGGAGGGCATGTCCTTTTTCATACTTTTCTTTGCAATGTGCATGGAAGCTGGACAGTTATTAAGAATTCTGTTACTTAAGTATTAAATACATTGCAGTCTTAAACAAGAAGTACCTTAGCATTATCTGAATCCTTGAAGATTGCCTGTAAGTAAACATAGGGCAGTTAAAGGATAACACAAATGAACATGGTGTAATATCCATTATACTGACACTTGCCATTTTGACCTGGGTTGCCTCATTTTATGTAACGTCAATGACCTTTGGCACCTGCTTGTGTTCACTGTGTGAACTCTGGAGAGAGGTGGGTTTTGTGTTAGGGGAAAACGGTGCCCTGCTGCTTGCTTGCATGTTACCATTTCCTTCCCTTCCGTCCCTCAGGCACAGAGAGACATCATATTTGAGTTGAGAAGAATTGCATTTGATGCAGAGTCTGACAGCAACACCATCCCTGGCAGTGGAACAGAAAAACGCAAAGCCATGTATACCAAGGACTACAAGATGCTGGGATTCACTGTATGCACCTAGAGAGTGGGATGGGGTGGACGGGGAGCAACAGAAACAGCTGTTTGCTTCACCATGTTTCTATATCTGACTTGTAGAAACTCAACTAAACTCAGATTTCCAGAACAGATTATTATGATCTTACTGTTTGGATAAGTGCAAGGGCTCATTAGGCACATCCTCTGAAGATACTTATTCTTGAAGAACTCAGAATTGGCCTCTTTTCTAGAAAGTTTAGATAGCAGGTGTCCTAGGTTACCTGTTGGCAAGATGTGAGGGAGTACTTGATAGGCAGGCTGTTGTAAAATGAATTTGGGAAAGAGTCTCACAGCATTTCTTTGGGCTAATTTCTTTGGTTTATTTCTGCACGCTTTGCAGAATCACATCAATCCAGCTATGGATTTTACTCAGACTCCTCCAGGGATGTTGGCATTGGATAACATGCTGTACTTGGCCAAGTTTCATCAGGACACCTATATCAGGGTAAGTAAAGCTGCTGTTCTTTGCAAGTAGCAGCACCTCAGCAACACTTCTGGCTATTTCTTCTGCCCTCTTCCTTTAGATTGTTCTGGAGAACAGCAGTCGAGAAGATAAACATGAGTGTCCCTTTGGACGCAGTGCCATTGAGCTTACCAGGATGCTTTGTGAGATCCTACAAGTTGGGGAACTCCGTAAGTAACATTCGCCTGCAGTCTCCTGAGTGACTGGGCTGATGTTTCCTGGGTTAACACACAGATTGGTGAAGATTCCCGACCATTTGTACTTTGGTCTCTTTTCTGCCTTGTAAGGACAGGGGTAGCTTGGAATTGCATTGTCGGTTTCCCCATAATACTAGTATTGAATTTAAATAAGAGAATTTGTTGTATGTGTTCTGGTTCTTGTTAAAAAACTGAAGCAAGTGGAAGACTCCAGCTTTCTGAAGCTTCATTAGGATGCTGTAAGAAAATCATTCTAGAAACCATCATAAATTTAAAAGTCAAGTAGCTGTGAGAGTCTCAAAAAAGAAAAACAAAAACATTCTAAAGCAATTAGCAACTATAAGAAATTCTGTCAGAGGAAAATGGGAAACAACTGCAAGCAGTCATCTGGGGAGGCTAGTCCAAAAAGAGTGCATCCATTGCAGAGGCTTGCATGATGAAGTCTGGGGATAGTTGCCATAGTTCCCAACAGACTGCCTATGGGGAGACAAAGCATTGAACTGTCCTTATCTCTGTGAGTAAGTACTATTGTACACCACTGCCTTTCTGTCACTGTGGTGGATTGTAGTTACTTCTATTAGCTGTTGTTCTGTATGTTCATGTGATGGTGGTTTCTGTTTATTCCTGAAGCTAATGAAGGCCGGAACGACTATCACCCCATGTTCTTCACTCACGACCGTGCATTTGAGGAGTTGTTTGCCATTTGCATCCAGCTGTTGAACAAGACCTGGAAAGAAATGAGGGCAACAGCAGAAGATTTTAATAAGGTCTGTCAGAGTGAGGAGGCCTTGTAGAATTGCTTGCAGAACAGTGTGTTCACTCATCCTTGGTTGCGTGACAAGTACACTTGGATAAAGAGATGGGGGTGGAGAGTACGTCAGGGCTTCGATGTGGGCTGTAAAGGATAGTCCAATCTTTATTTGGTGTGACCTGAGATCATTCTTTAGTTTGGATCTTCAGAGCCACCAGTACACTGACACTCCTGGCCACGGCTACGTTTTTTGATGCTACTGAGCTGAGCCCTAGATCTTTTCTGCCATTAAACAGCAAAAGTGTGACTTCTCACCCTGCCTATTTCAGGTTATGCAGGTTGTGAGGGAACAGATCACACGGGCTCTCCCCTCCAAACCCAACTCTTTGGACCAGTTCAAGAGTAAACTGCGCAGCCTGAGCTATTCTGAGATTCTGCGACTGCGCCAGTCTGAGAGAATGAGCCAGGATGACTTCCAGTCACCTCCTATTGTGTAAGCGCCCAACAAGAACAATTCCCTGTGCCTGTTGTTGTCACTAGTTCCTGCTTACTCTTCCATGTTTGATTGCCAGGGAGCTGAGAGAGAAAATCCAGCCTGAGATCTTGGAGCTGATAAAGCAGCAGCGGCTGAACAGGCTCTGTGAGGGAAGCAGCTTTCGAAAAATTGGAAATCGCAGAAGACAAGGTGAGGTGACACGAGAGCTGTAGGCAAAAAATACCTAATGGATTAACTTGTCAGCAGCGTGTTGCCAGAAAGGGAAGCTGGCAACCTGATCTGTCTGTAGCAACCAGTAGTTTGGGATGGAAGAAACGTGTGTTTCTGAGAATACAGCCATCTCCTCATAAACAGCCAGTAATGCTGAGGAATTGAAGGGGTAGAGAGATTGGTCAGTGGCTGTGAGATCTCAGGTGAACGATCCTGCTCAGCCTGCTCTACTTTTTCTGAGTTCCAGAAAGATTTTGGTATTGTCGCCTTGCTCTGAACCACAAAGTGCTACACTATGGAGATCTGGAAGACAATGCCCAGGGGGAAGTGACCTTTGAATCCCTGCAGGAAAAAAGTAAGTCCCAATTACCACTCTCTGAACACAGTAAGTGTTCTGTGTGTTGCCATCTAGTGGTTCTAATGAGGACCATCCCAGAAAAAAGGATGACTGTGGCTGAAGCTCCTAACGACCATGAGATACATATTTGACCCTTGCACAAATCCTTTGAGCTCTGTCAGTTGCTTGGCATTTCTTAGAACAGACAACTGTAGGGATGTGCTGCTCGTAATGTGTCTTGGAAAACTGCAGTAATGAGTTAGAAAACAGGAAAAATGCTCAGTTGCAAAGACAAAACAAAGTGCTGTCTCTTGATAAGTGTTTCCTCTGTGTGAGTTTTACTTTTCCACTGTTAGTTCCAGTTGCAGATATCAAAGCCATTGTCACGGGGAAGGATTGTCCACACATGAAGGAGAAAAGTGCACTGAAGCAGAACAAGGTAACTGCTCTGTTTTTCGACTATAAATAATACCTAAAGGTATGGAGATATGAAGGCCAGAAGCAAACATGAAGAGTAGTTGGTCTTCTCAATTGGCAACTTCTCATTGCCCTGCTTCAAAACAGAAACAAAAAACAAAACAATTATCTGGACTTTTTCCATATGATTGAAGTGTGCTGTGAGCTTTTATGCCAGTTGTTCTGTAGGCCACTAATGCTGCTATAGGGAGGTGTACTGAGCTGCAGCAAGACTGCTGTTCTTGTGTGAGCATTCTGAAAGCAATGTAATGTTTTGTTCCATCAGTGAGTGAGAGATTCTTTTCCATTCAGGAAGTGTTAGAATTGGCCTTCTCGATTCTGTATGACCCAGATGAGACCTTAAACTTCATCGCACCTAATAAATATGAGGTAAGAAGCACAGCAATTAACTACAGAATCATAAAATAATTCTTGAGTTGAAAGGAACCCACAAGGCTCATCCAAGCAAACTGCTGGCTCCACACAGAAAAAAGCACAATTCAAACCCTGTGCCTGAGTGTTGTCCAAGCTTGTTGAACTCTGGCAGGTGTGTGGCCATGACCACTTCCCTATGGAGTGAAGGGACAGAATATAGAACAAGTCTATTGCAGGAGACTAAGCACAGTCAGTTGAGCCTCATTGAAAAGGCATTCTTCATTTTGTCCCATTTGGTCCCTTGTTCCTTCTTACTGTTTGCTTTTTGTGCTGGTAGGCCCCACTAGAAGCTCTTGTCACTCCCTGTGGAGCCTTGGGCTCACGCTTACCACCTCTGGGTTTCCGACTTAGTTTGGAATCTGTGCGCTCTGCTTTGTTGTTTTTCTGTTGGGTTTTGCAGTTTGCCCCCCTATTTTGGAGCTGTGTAGGGGAATCAATAATGCCTGGAGTTGTCAGCTGTCCTCTTCTCCGCAGTACTGTATCTGGATCGATGGGCTTAACGCTCTCCTGGGTAAGGACATGTCCAGCGAGCTGACAAGGAGCGACCTGGACACGCTGCTGAGCATGGAGATGAAGCTGCGGCTGCTGGACTTGGAGAACATCCAGATCCCCGAGGCGCCGCCGCCCATCCCCAAAGAGCCGAGCAGCTACGACTTCGTGTACCACTACGGCTGACGGGGGCTGCGGTCCGGCCCGCTGGAAGCTCCCGGTGCGCGGCCGTCCCGGGCGTTCGGCCGCCGTGCGACTTTTGTACGAGTTCCAATAATAACCAATAGCACGGCAGCGGCTCCCGGGCCTCCTTCCTTCCGCCCGCCTCAGGTCCCGCCTTCCGCCGCGTCGTCAGCGGCGCGGCCCGGCGCTGCTCCTCGCGGCGCTCCGCGGGGCCCCGGGCGGGCGCATGGGGACGGGCGCGGCGGCGCTGGGCCGGGCGGCGCTGGTGGCGGCGCTGGTGCTGCTCTACTACGGCTTCTCCATCGGCATCACCTTCTACAACAAGTGGCTGATGAAGGTGCGGGGCGGCGGGCGGAGGGGCGGCGGGCAGGCGGGCGGCGGCGGTGACGGCGGCTGTCGGTCCCGCAGAGCTTCCCGTTCCCGCTGCTCGCCACGCTGCTGCACCTCCTGCTCATCTTCGCGCTGTCGGCGCTGTGCCGCGCCGTGCTGCGCTGTCGCTCCGGGCGGCCGCCGCCGACGCTGTCCTGGGCCGAGTGGCTCCGCCGAGCCGCGCCCGCAGGTACGGGCGGGGATGGGGCGGCGCGGGCTGCCCGCGGCTTTGGCCGTGGTTGTGTTGCGTGCGGGATGACGGCAAATACCTCCGGCCGGGGAGGTGTTCAGACGTCGGTAGCGTCTCCCTGAGCCTCCGCTGAACGGACCCAGCCCTCGGCCTCTCCTCGTGGGAGTCGTACCGCTCCGTTCATCTGTTTGTGGGTCTGTGCTGTGTTCCTGCCCTTTGTGTTTCCCTTGTGCCGGGGGCCCGGTGTCGGGCTGCGGCCTCACCAGTGCTGAGTAGAGGGCAAGGATCAGTTCTGTTGATCTGCTGGTGACACGTGGCCCAGAGGTGGCTTCCTTAGCAGCAAGGAGGGCACGCTGCTGCCTCGTGTTCACTGTGGTGCCCGCTGGGTCTCTGAGGTTTTCTGGAAAGCTGCCCTCCACCCGGGCAGCCCAGCACCACTGCTGCCTGGGGTTGTTCCTTCCCGAGTGTGATTACCTGCCCCTATCCGTAGTGAACTTCATTAGGTTTTTGTGAGCAAAGCTCTCTGGCCTGTCAGGATCCCTCTGGGTGACTGCCTGACCCTCTGGTGCATCAGCAGCTCCCCCGGGTTCACGTGGATTTACTGAGTGCACTTTGCCCCATCATCCAAATCTGTAGTGAAGATACTGAGCAGGTCTGGACGCAGTATTGACACCTGGGATATCCTGCTCATTACTGCCCCCCAGCCGCACTCTACCACTTATTGCTGCCCACTGGGCCGTGCTGTGCGGTCAGTTTTTGATCTAGCTGACTGCCCATCCAGCCCATGCTTCAAGAGCTTCACCGTGTGTATTTTCTGGGAGTCAGAAGTCTGGGAAGACAGTATCCACTGCTCCCCTCTCCTCCATCAGGACAGTGATTTCATTATAGAAGCTTATCAGATTGGACATGCAGGATTTCCCCTTGCTGAATCTCTGCTGACTACTACGCCTGATTTTCTTCTCCTTCACATGCCTGGAAATGGTTTTTAAGAATACCTGTTCCATGAGGTAATCTCAGCCTTTTGCTGTATGTACTGTGCCTGGAGTTGTTCCTTCCCAAGTGCTCCCTGCCCTCATCCTTGTTGAACTGTGTGAGGATTTTGTCAGCAAACCTCCCCAGCCTGTCAAGATCCCTCTGGATGGCTGTGTGAGCCTCTGGTAAACAAGCTGCTCCTCGCAGTCTTCTTCTGAGCCCAGTGTTTCTGTTATATTAGCAGCTTTCTCTGGTTGGAATTTAGCCTTTGTCTTCAACTTGAATCACAGGGAAAAGGATAGAAACAAATCTGAACATATCCAGGCTGTGCTGGTATTGAAAAGTTTGTGAGAAAAGAACCTTTCTTTTTTTTCTGGCTCTGCTCTATGTTTGTGGTCAGTTAGCAGAGTTTTTCTTTTGTGGGGTGGAAGACAATTAACTTCAGAACATTTTCTTTGATTCTTCAGCTTTGTCAACTTCCTTGGATATTGGGCTGAGTAACTGGAGCTTCCTGTATGTCACCGTCTCCCTGTGAGTACAGATCTCATCTTCCTTGGGAGTCGTCTGGTGGGGTTTGGAAAGTGCTGCATTGGGATCAGTATCTGGAGCTGCGTGTGGCCTGGTGGGGTTGCCATGCAGGAGCTGTGTTAGGCTGTCTGGCAGCTGCATAACACTGATCTCCTTCCCAATAGTGCTTTGCTGGGAAGGACTGCATTGGAAGATAACGGTAATGTATTTTGGTCTTTGCAGCTACACGATGACCAAATCCTCTGCCATCCTCTTCATCCTGCTGTTTTCACTGCTCTTCAAGCTGGAGGAAATGGTAAGGGGTGCAGTGCTTTGAGGAGGCTGAAACTCAGGTGCAGGGAGGCATGAAATGCATGAGAAACATAATCAGAGCAGGGATGCTATTGCGTGGATGACTGAAAGAGTTAACTGTCCAGCTCTAGGAGACCTTGTAGTGATTTTGTGTTTGCTCTCACCCAGAGGGTGGCATTGGTGCTGGTGGTTGTGCTCATCGCTGGGGGGCTCTTCATGTTCACCTACAAGTCCACGCAGTTCAACACACAGGGGTTCATGCTGGTGCTCTGTGCCTCTTTCCTTGGGGGTGTTCGCTGGACTCTCACACAGATCCTTATGCAGAAGGCTGAACTGGGTATGTAAAGAGCAGGAACTGGGAGGCGGTGCTGGCAAAAGGTGGGGAATAAGGAGGCTGTAACTTAACTGCAGAAGCAAGACCTCTTGTCTAAGGGACAGCGTTTGAAACCTGGGATGGGGATCGTCTGTTGGTGGGTAATAAGGATTCTTTGGCCTCTGCAGCAGCATCAGCCTGGGCATTGCAGAGAAGATTTATATCTACATGTAGTACTAATAGCTTGAGGAACTGTTTACTCTGTGGCTTCTTGTTACCATTATTGATTCTCTTCTTGCAGGGCTCCAGAACCCCATTGATATCATGTTTCACCTGCAGCCACTCATGTTCCTGGTGCTCTTCCCTCTGTTTGCAGTGTTTGAGGGTGCGTGAGTTAATTAGGAAAAGCAGGGGTAGCTTAATAGAGCTGTTGGGAGTTTGCTTAGCTGATTCAAGATGATTCATGCAGAGAAGTGAACATCTGTGAACTTTACAAAGCAATCCTGGAGTTACAAGGACCAAGATATAATTGAAGTAGAATATCACAGAGCACATAAGAATTGTAGCTTGCCACGCTTGTGGAAATAAGGGGAACACTCAAGCTCAACTGAGCCTTTTGGGGGGGGCCCTGGGGGTTGGGAAGGGTTCTCTGCTACTCACTTTCTTGTTCCTAGGCCTGCCTTTGTCCATATCAGAGAGGCTTTTCCATTTCCATGAAGCAGGAGTGACGTTCTGTATGGTAGGAAAGCTGTTGTTGGGTGGAATTCTTGCCTTTGGTCTAGGCTTTTCTGAGTTCCTCCTGGTTTCCAGAACATCTAGCCTCACCCTTTCTATTGCTGGCATTTTTAAGGTAAGGCATGGTTCCTGTTCTAATACTAAAGGGCAAGTACTGAGTCGCCCCTAACAAGCCTAATGTGGTGGGAACTTCCTTACAGCCTCAGAAGTCATCTCCTGTGATTTTTATTCTCCTCACGCAGGAGCTTGATGCTTTGACTTGCTGTCTTTGCAGTGAGGGCTCGTGTTCCCTGCTGCTCTGACAAAAAAGGGCAGAGAAATTAAATATGTTAAGATCCAAAGTTTGGTGGGATCTGGGAGAAACTAGAACGTGTGGGCCTCATGAGTGATGGAGGGTGTGGGAGGGAGGAGAGTTAAGAAGAGTGTTTTCTTGCATCAGACCTGGATAAGGTCTGGTAAACCTTACCCCCAGGTAAACCTCTGGTTTATCCTTACCCCAGGTAAACCTCAGTCTGGTTTTCCATGTTCTGTCCTTCCTTGATGAGTGCAATGCATGTACTTCTGAGCTAGTTGGTGACACGTGAAACTCAGCTATGTAGTAAACCTATAACTTCCAGATTAGATGAGTAGTTCAATCAGGGGACGTAAAATCCCCACTCCCAGTTTGACAGGTTGTTCTGATTCTGGAATCTGTTTTTAGAACTTTCTACACATGGAAGGACACTTGGTGGAAATCAGCAGCCTGACATCTTGATTTAGGCTTGAGCTGCAAAATAACTTATTCACATCACGTCAGGTCCTGTGCTGCCACTTGTCATGTTTTTTCTTTTCACAGGAAATCTGTGTTTTATTCCTTGCCACACACTTGCTGGGAGACCGCCTCAGTCTCTTGAACTGGCTTGGCTTTGCTGTCTGTCTGTCAGGAATCTCCCTTCATGTCATTCTCAAAGCCGTAAATTCCAGAGGTGATTCTGTTTTCAGTACCTTTGTGTTTCTCTGTAGGCGTTCTTGCAGTTTCACCAGGAGCTGCACCTGATTCCAGCTGCTTGCCAGCAGCAGGGTTGAGCTGGCTTTTAGTAAATGAGCTGTCTGCACGCAGGTGAGAAAACACTGAATCTACACAAGGAGAGGCACTCTGAGCCTGACCTGGAGCTGCTGCTGCACCACGCTGAACATGGGGAGGAGGAAGAAGATGTTGGAACCCTACAACAACACTGAATGAACGTGAAGCAGAGTCCCCTGCTCTGTGCTTACCAGGTCTGTCTGACAACTGCCTAGGAAGGAGGTCCAAGATTCTCTGTCTTTGACTTTCCAAAGGGGAATGAGGGTCCAGTGGGAGTCGTGCTGTTGTACTGCGGTGCGAATGCTGCACAGAAAACAAGGAATACGCTTTGCTGGAGAGCAGACTTGGAAGATGAATCCCAGTTCAGCAGAAGTGAATGGTGAGACTGGGAAATGCTATAGAAAACTTTCTAGGGAATCCTGAAGGCTTTATATTGACATTGTAGACCATGAACTGCGGATCAAGTATGGACATATCTGGACTGCAGGCTGAGTGGTTCCAGGATGGTTTTAGTGGTGTTTAGGCTTTAGCTCCAAAGAGGAAGGTAGGTGCATCTTCCTGTGCTTGTTTTGTGGTTCTGGCAAATGGGAGCTCCTGTCTTTGTGGGAGCAGATAATTGCATGTAATTCCCAAGACTTGTCCCAGTGAGAAAGCGCCTTTGTGCTTGGTGACCTTCGTGTATGTATGAAAGAGGGATGCTTACCTATCTGCTGGTATTTGGGACCAATTAAATTCAGCCAAATTATGTTGGGCAGAGAAAGAACGAGGGTGCAGGGAGTCCTGCTGGCCCTACAGCCAAGGTGGCAGAGGGTGCATTTAGCTTGAGCAGTGAGCTTTTCAGAAAGTATGTGAGTATTTTTTATGTCTGGTTGGTTGGTTTTGGTGGTTTGGTTTTTATTTTCAATAAACTAGTTTTCTGATTCCCTACTGTCTGCACATTATGTAGCTGTGCTTCAGCAAGCAGAGATCATTTCTCTTTTGAACTTTCTCTCAGACCCACAGTGTCCTTTCTACTGCATGCCCAATTGATTTGGACAAATACTTGCTCATCAGCAGGTTGCTTGACCTCTAGGATTAAGGGTCCTGTTTGCCAGCTGAGGAGGATTTGCCTACCTTGATGTGCCAACAGGACCCTGTATCCTAAGAACACGTAGTATTCTGTTTCACTGTTGGAACCTTATGTCTGCCCCAGTGGTTTGGGTCAGTGAGAGCTGAAATTTGGTCTGGGGAAATGGAATAGCGCAGGATTTAAGGTGTATCTATTGTCTTTATGCTGAGCCTGAAATGAGGTTGGGCAGCAGCTTTTTATTTTTCTCTGCCTGGCAGAATTTTCACCTCTCTGGCAGTTTTGTTCGCTGTGTGAGCTTGTAGAGTTTTTGAGGTGGGAATGACTTTGAGAACACTTCCCAAAGGTTCAGCAATGCAGGCTTTCTCTTGAGCGGAGCTGAGCATTTAAGTGAATTTGTCATACTCTGAGAACCTGAAACATCTTGACTGGTTGCTCCTCCATTGATTTTTACTCGGTAGCTTTGAGACAGGAGGCCTTTCTTGGTGTCTTTAATCAGGATCATATCTGGAGGGGAAGAAAAAAAAAATGGTTCTGAGGAAAACTTTTGTTAATGCTGATCATTTTTCATCGTGTTCTAAAGGATCCTGGTGTCTTGCTTTAAAGCAGACAGCAGGTGGAGCAGCTACTTCATGCAAAGCTCCTGAAGCAGTGCTGGTGGCCTGGCAGCACCCCAGGGGATCCTGTGTGCCAAGTGGGACGTGTCCTGGAGTGGGAATGGTTTGTTCTGTCACTGGCTGGATTTTTCCAATAGTTAGGGCTCCTGATGCTTCCACTGGGGTTCACCTGTTTGCCCTACTGAGAGGTGTAAGCACCATCTTCTTTTGTAAGCACTAAATACTGTTTTTACATACTGGGGGGCAATGATGCTTTCTGAATGTGGGCTGTGCAGCTGCTCTTTGCCTTTCCCTTTTCACTCTCCTTGGAACTTTCTACTCTTGGCTTCTTTTTACTGCGTAGTTCTTCGGGTTGGATTTCAGGTCCCTGCAAATCAGAGGTAAGGTGACTTTGTTCACAAAGATTTGCATCCCATATGGTGCTGAAAGATAAAATTTAATTGTGCCTGTGCAGGTTCTTGGGAGCTGTAGGGCTCTGCAGTCTGTTGCTTCCAGAGTTTCTTCTTTAAGGCGAAGGAGTTGATGCCCTGCAGCCTAGCGTCCAACATTTTGCATTTCTGACCTAGATACAACTTCTTAGTGACAAATGCATCACTGACATTTACTCCAGTTATATGTGCTGCTAATACCTTTTGGAACAGAGATAGTCAGGGCCTGCTGTTGTCACTGAAGCTGTTGTAGATTTGGGTGTACAGTGAGAGGAGTGAGGTGGTCGTGCATACCCTTCTCTCACCAGCCCTAAGTCAGGAGCTGCTTGAAGATGGGAGCTCATCATCTTTTGTGCCATTGTGTTGGCACAGTTTGGTTCGCCTCTCTTTCCCAATGGGAGACTGTGAAGGTTGGACATGCTGGAATGCATGAGCGCTGCAGTGCTGAGAAGAGCTGTGTGTGTGGCAGCGTGGGTATGCCAGCACCTCAGGTGGGGAGAACATGCACACGTGTTCCTGCTGGGGAGGTCTGTGCAGAGCTGCACACACTGACACACAGCCAGGCACAGGAAATAGAGGGCTGTGGTTGAATATTGATGATGTTTGAACTAATTAACGAGTGGAAGCAAAGCTGGATGAATCTCAGAGGTGCTGCCCTCCTTCCACAAGTTGTGTCCTTGCCTATAAGGCCGGGTGTTTACATGGACTCTGGTTTTTGCTCCCTGCCTGCACCCAGGAGGTCTCTTCACTTGAGCAACAGCTGCTTGCCTTCCTGCTGGTATTTCAACGCAGCAAACACTCTGAGGGCAAGGAGAAATCGTCCCTGCAAACCCCTTTGCACTTCCCAGTTCTCTGCCCAGAAAACAAGGTCTTATCACCAAGCTTACTGTCAGGGCTCACATGCATTTGTGATTTTTGCCATGGCAAATTCTTGCCCCTACTTCAGTGCCAAGGCTCTCCCTTTCAGCACTGCAGTGTTGAGGTTTTGGTGTTCACAGCCTTAAGTCCCTGCGCTCCAAGGGTGGTGAAGAACCTTTGCTCCTAGTCTGCACCCCGTGCATGGGAATGACACCTCTTCATGCAGTCACGCTTACCTGAGAGGTAGGTTGGGAATGGCCTTATGGGCAGAATTGTTCGTCTTGTTTTGCATTAGGAAAGGTGATGTAGCCAAAACAGGGCTGTCTGAGAGTTAAGAAAGCGGTGGTGGTGGCTTTAGCTTCCCTCTCCCAGGTGGTCTTCTTTCTGGCAGGAGCAGGGAGGGAGTGAGGTCTGTGAGGCTGGCTGGAGCTTGAGGCAACACCCAAGTGGCTGCCCTGCTCAGGACCTTGCTGGGAGCAGAGCTGCTGCTGCTGCTGCTGCCTTGTGGCAACTTGCCCGGTGAAAAGTAGCAGAATTGACCGTGCAATTGTTAATGAAAATCACAAGCAGAAAAATGGAGCCAAGGCCTGTGATTGCACTAATTGGTGGCATCCTCATGAATGTGCCAAGAGCCATTCTCCTGATCTCTGCCTAGTAATTCTTCTCATGTCATGTTTCAGCATCTCCTGTGTGAGGCAGACCCTGCCTGGCGGATGTGATAAGTGTGGAAGTTGATGTAGAGCTGCTCCTTTGTGTTCAGATGCTGAAAGCTTTCAGTGGAACAATCTGTGAAGAAGGTGTTGGAGTTGGTGCTGGGTATTGCAGCCTTGCATTCTCCATCTGTGAGATGAGCTGGATCAGCCCAAGCCAAGCAGGAACTTCTTGGATTCTCTCAGCAGGCACCACTGCCAAGAGCTCAGTTCTGTTTTCTCAGGTAGCTCCTGTGTGGGTACTGATTGCATTGAGGGCCCCCAAAGCCATCTCTTCCCTAGGCTGAACAAACCTGGCTCCCTGTGCTTTTCCTTCCAGAGCAGATATTCCAATCCCTGAATGCCTTGCTGGTTCTCTACTGAACTCATTTCAATTCGTCTGTGTCTTTTCCTGTATTGGGGGGAAGTTAGATGCAGTATTCTTCATAGGGTTTACAAAATATGGGTACAGATGGATCGCTTCCCTTGACCTATCACCTGCTGCATAGCTAGCAATTAAAATGCCAGTGCGTGTAGCTGGCTCATGTTTAATGTCTTGTTTCCTGAGATGCCCTGGTTCTCTTCGTAAGAGGAGCTGGAAAGCCAGGGGTAATCCTGCAGGCACTTGGACAGGGTGCTAGGCTGCCCTGATAGGCTGCTGTTGTGGCACAGATACCACGGGTATTCCCTGTGCTAGTGTGAGTTTAAAAACTATGGTTTTGGAGGACTTGACTTGCAAAATTGTTAAGACAGGGACAGTGATATTGGAGTCAGGCCTGAAAGAGGAGGGGTGGGCAAGAGCATGTGGCATACTGCTGTCACTGGGCTGGCATGGCTGACATCTGTCCAGATTCTGGAACGGGTGCAGATTGGCCTTGCTATAATAAGCTCTGCAGGCAGGGTCTACTCCCAGCTCTCAAAAGCCTGCAGATCCTCAACTTTTTCTTGTCCTCTGCATGTTCTATGGAGCTGGATGCTCCTTTTGCCCAACACTTTCCTCCAAATTTGTTTCTTGTGAGAGAAAACAGCAAACTCAGCATAGCTTTTGCCCTGGGACAGGTCTTTGGCTTCCTTGACACAAGTGCACTGTGAACATTCTCCCCAGTTTCCTTCCAGGAAGTTGTCCTCAATCTGCCAGTGCTCCTCAGCATCTGACCGCCTACCTGTGCAGGGTGCAGCCTGCAGGATTCCCCTTGAAGCTCTCATTCTTCCCTACATCTGTATTCTTTGATGCTCGGCAGCCTCGCCCTTCCTGTTAACACTCTTATCAGAGCCCACAGCTGAACTCCCCTGCTGTTGGCACAGGGAGGGGAGGCAGTTCTGCACTGCAGTCTGATGGGCTTTGGTGTGGGTGGTAGGAACAGTGTGATGAGAAAGGAGCCCATGTGTGAGGGGGGGGGGCCTGGAGGAATATTCTTGTTACCTGTCCTCTCACCAGCCTCAGAAAGGAAGCCTTGCTCCCACCAGGGGTGACCCCAGCCATCCCGGTAGCCATCCTAGTAGTAGTGCTGTCCATTGTGGGTTTGGGCAGAGGTGGGCACTGATCCCGGGTCCGTCCCCAGGTGGCAGGTGAGACCAGGGGCTCAGAGCTCCCTTCACACTGTGCTGCTGGACCTCGTGCTGCCAGCTTCATGGATTTTAAGGCCTGAAGTGACTGTTCAGTTATCCGGGGGCCCTGTGCAACTCCAAGTGAGAAATGCCATTATCTTCTTTAGCCTGTAATGAACTGAGTATCTCTCAGCTGATGTATTTTCCGTGACAGGATGGAGGATGCTAGGAGGCAGAGCAGATGGCACTTCCCTGGTAGCGTGGCCCAGTGCCGTGTTTCCTATTTGCACTTGCTTGACTACAAGCTCCAGCCTCTTTTCTTCACAAAGTTAAAGAGCTCTTTCACACCAAGTATTTTCTCTCTGTGAAGTGCTTACAATCAAATCACCTCTCAGGCTCCCTTTTTGGTGAGATAACAGACTGAACTCTTTCATTCTGTCTCTGGCAAATGTTTTTTCCAGCCTCCAAATCACATTTGTCATTCTTCTGTACATCCTACTTTTCTTTTTTTTTTTTTTTCAAAATCCCTTTAGAAATGTGGGCACCAGAACGGATCATCAGCGCCATCCCACTCACCACAACCATCCACATCTCTTCTTTCCCCACTAATAGCGTATGCAGGAGACAGAGTGCTCTGTGTAGAGCAAAAAAGGACTCTGTGGCCCATGAATGACTGATTTCCCCTCTACCTGATATTAGCCCAGGTGGGTCAGTCTCACTGT